TATCCATCCTAGCTGGGCCACCTGCCTCATTTACTCGCCTCTTTCTTTGACCCGTCTCAGCTCTTTTTGTTTCTCACGTGGAAGCGCCTTGAGCGGGCCGGCACGTTGATCCGATCCACCCCACCTGCCTCTGCTCAACCTTCCTTTTGCTTAGTCTGCCCCCATCTGTCAAGCTGTCATCGGCGTCAGCCGGTCGACCTTGTTAGAGCCCCCCCCCCTCCCCCCACTGCCTGTCCCCAGATTCAGCGTAGCCCCAATATGTCAAGGGGATGATGAGTGTGTTCCCCTTGAGCCAAGCTGCCAGAGCAGAAGCCAGTGCTAGCGATGTCGTCCCAAACTTCAGGAGTATGTGTGGCAATATTTATATTGGTCGAGTCCACAGAAGCCAATCGGATCAGGTTTCCGTCCCGCAGCAGCTGTACCCGGGTTTCTGAGACAAAAGGTCAGAAACTGTGGCCTTACACTGCACTCACTTTCATCATCCATCGCGTGAATTGATGCCTGAAAAGCTTAAAGAACAGCTTGTTTGAAATGTATGGTGGTATAAACACTTGGTTAGAAAAAATAACAGAACGGTATTAATACAATGAACTGTCTCACATTGTTAGTTTTGTTTTGTGGCCTTTTGGATTTATTTTCTCTTTGAACAGTGTTATTCTTTTCCCGTTATTTTTACCTTTTCTAGTCCCAGTTCAGCTCTTTGAATTTATTATTCACCTCAGTCTGCTGTTTCCTCCCTTTCACTCCAGTCCTCTATCTTTTGATTCCTCTCTGCACACACTCTCATCCAGCTGTTTTCATTTTCCTCTGACTGATCCTTGTAGTTGCTTTGTCAGGTCCACCTCTCCATCATTTATAAGTTTCTTGGTTCTCATTGTCCTCCACTGGTTCCTTGCTTCGTTTTCCTCGTTGGGTCCATTGCTCTGGCCGTTCCAGAGCTTTTATGTCCTGTTTCACCTGCAATCATTATAATCATTAAAAGTGCAACTTTTATGAACAAAATGTTTTAAACATGGTTACTAAAACTGCCAATATGCCCTCATATGGAAGCATGAGACAAAAAAATAAATCAATCACTCAGAACCAGGAGGAGAGTCTTAGCGCTGTCAATCACCCTTGTGTAGACTATACTCACATCCTTCCCTTGCTCTCTGCTACGCTATGGCTGGTTCACAAGAAAGGAGCCTGCCATGAATGTTAAGGCTAGTTAGCATTGCCACCGATGATGACATGGTGGCCAAGAAAACTAGCCTTACACTGGAAAAAACTAAATAGATGCCAATCCTGGAAGAAAACCTGACAAAAAACTTGAAAGAGACTATAAACAACATTAGTCTGGGCCAGAGGTTCACCTTCCTGTATGAGAATACCACTCAAAGTTCAGTCTGATATAAACAGATGGTTTACATCAAAGCGTATTTGTGAGTCACAATGATCAAAATTAAGATTTAAAAATAGACCTTCATCCAATCTAACTGAGGTTGAGCTATTTGGGAAAGAAGAATGCAAAAAAAAAAATATATATATATCTGCCTTCTGGATTTGAAAATCTGGTAGTTATTCTAACAGACTTGCACAGGTAATTGTAGCAAAAGTAGTTTCCACAAATTGTTGATGCAGACAAGCAAATAAAAAAACCGAACACCACACTTTTCCTTTCACTCACAGTATCCTCTGTTGATCTATGACATAAGACCCTCAAAAAATATCTTCAAGCCTGTGGATGTTGCGTGACAAAATGCGAAATATTTCAAATGATATGAATGCTTTCACCACGTTCTGCAAATAAAACCAACGTGTCCCCACCACTGCCGCTGCTTCACGGATGCCTTTTGCGCATCATCATACTGCGATTACTTGTCCACTCAAGAAGAGGACGTTCCAGGAGGCTCAAGCTGATGACAGAGGAACTTATCACGGCTTATGATGGATCAGGAACCATCTAGAAATGCAGTATAAGCACGGCGCCATTTCCACCAGTGTTTTAAAGAACAACATGCCAAACCTACCAACAGAAATAAGCAAAGGTGATAAAAATTATATAACTGAACTGTAATTGGAATAAGCAAACAAATATGATCTTTGCTGTTTGAAATTCTTGGCCTGACTTGGATAAACATGAAAACACATCTTGCACAGATCAAGAGGAGAACATGTTCCTGTGACAGTTGTGTCTGTGCTTCAGCTATGGTTCTCTTCACATGTCACTGGACTGATTGACTGGTTATCACACTGTTACGTAACTAGCACAATTAAAAGTTTCAGTCCAAACTCAACTGTTTACGTTGATTTTCATTAAATGCTTCTTACAGGAAAAGGAGATGGGCGGTTATCCAAATGTTTAGACCTCAGTCACACTTGTGTGCCTCACATTAAAGTAGCATAGTTGTTAAATACTACAGAGATACATGGCTTTCAAGCTGTATTTTACAGCCATGTAACTTTTATAAAACATGATTTTTGCATAGTTGTAAAAGCTGTCACTATGTCACAGCAGTATAAAATGAGACAGATAATCAGTGAAAACAAATCTGACTTCACCTCTTCCTGGTGCTGCTATTACTAGGAGGAGCTCCTGGTCAAAAACAACCAAACCAATCAGAGCGAGGAGGAAGGTCTTAGTGTTGTCAGTCAGTCTCGTAGCTCTGCTTCGCATGCTAATAGTGGAGAAACAACTTACCGTTACAGAAAGACTGTTTATACGCCAACATCAATGTGTACGCTAACTAGCCTGAGCATTCACAGCAGGCTCTGTTGTGGTGAACTAGCTGTAGTGCAGCAAAGAGAAAGGGTGAGGGTGTGAGCAGCTTGTACACAAGGAGGATTGACAACGCTAACACCCTCCTCCTGATTGGTTGTTCCTGATTAAGCTGTGTATTCCTGAAATCAGCACTGGGAGTACTGGGAGAAGACGGAGAAGCTTGATTTTTTTTCCCTCTTTTACCACATTGTCACCACACAGTGACAGTTTTCACACATAAAAAACATATATTTTATTATAGTTTTAAGAAAATAGCCTGTCCTGGTAATTTGACCTTTTGCTCATACAAGCTGCCACAATATTCTTTTATATTCTTGATTTTATTTTTGTCTTTGAGAAGCATTTTGTGATTATGTGATTATGCATTTTGTGAGCATCTGTAATTAGTGACAGATAAATAAATTTTACTTACTTACTTGCAATTTATTTGACATGTTGATGACAGGGTTCTGCTACAACATTGTGCTACTTTAATGTTGTGGCAGGCTAGCAGTGTTGTCTTACTGTCATGCTAAACTATGCAGGCACTTAATCTGCGCTGATGAAGATTTAATACAACTCTGCATTCCCGATGCTTGGAGAGGCTCCAAAGACAGCTGGTCCACCCATATTTTTGTTATTTTGTTTATTTATTCAGCTAATAATTTAACCTCCTGACATCTTTCGTGCACTGTGCATAAAGAATTTAACTCCCAGATGTTTAGGTGTTGATTGGAGGTATGAAAACAACATGAAGATGGTGACATCATGGCAAAAGTACTGTATCACGTTCTGAGTGCTGAAATTTTCACCCTTGGTCCTAATTCACATGTAAAATATACAGCAGGCGTCCATCACAAGCAACACAAGTGGTTCATTTATATGACAGGACTTCATTTCTAAGCAAGGAGCAAGACTGAAGATGGTGTCACAGAGGCTGTGGGATATTTCAGATAGCTAAATTCAACAACACAAAACAAAACAGGTTATCTGTTGGAGCATTTTCTTGACTGGGTCAATCAGTAGTACACCGGTATTCTGTTCAAATCTAATTTATGGAACATCCTTAATCATGAGATACAACTCACTGAAAGAGAAGCACAAAAAAATTAACAATTTCAACTTCAGCAGAAACCAAGGCACACATGTCAGGTTTGTGAGATTTCTCTACTTGCCAAATCTGACGTGAACTGAGTTTGAAAACTGAAATGATCATGGTGTGAGCATACATGTGAAACCTTTTCCATTTCTTGTTTTTTCTTTCAAAAATGCAGTCAAGAGGGAAGTTGCAAGACCACTGAACATGAATGGACCAGTCCTTAAAGCAATATATATTTTATATGTGCATTGCTCCACCTACTGTTTGTGCAAAGTATCACAAAAACAGGCAACATCCACCCACAAGTACTTGGGGTTTTCAATCCCCACATAATATCACAGAATAGGAAATATACCAATGTTTTTGTCTCTATTTTTACACAAACACATTGCATAATCCTGAGAGCTGAAAAAAACCTTCAGCTACTTGATGAATATAATATATTGTAGATCTTGTCACACTGAACTCAGAGAAAGAAGCCATTTCTCCAAAGCTGCAACATAAAAAGACGTGTGAGCAAGTTGGCCTACCAACCCGACTCAGTGGCACCAGTTCTGTCTGGAGGAAAGAGCCAAATTTCCAGCAAACTACTGTGAGAAGCATAAAACACACCCAAAAGATTTGACCCAATTTATCCATTTTTAATCCCTTTTTTCGAGTATCAGAATAATAAACTTCCTTTGTTCTCTGACTTAGTTTTCTGGAAGCAGAAAATAGAAAGGCTATAGGTCTTTTCATGCAATGTAAATACATTTCGAAATTATTTCAGTTTGTCTTTTGAGAAAGTAGAAAAAAATGTTTTTTTTATCAGGATGGGAAGGTTCCCTTTTTTAAATAAAGTTTAATCTACAACTTGGGCCTAAAACAAACAAACTGCTCACATATTTAACTTTAACTTTAAAAATGGTCAAAGCCAAAAGAAGGTGAAAGGATGCAAAGCTTTAAATTTGAGATTGTGGTGGAAAAAGGATGAAAACATGGTTTCTGTGATGGGAAAGAGGAGGAGGAAGAAAGTGAAGAGGAGGAGGGTGCAGGGGATGGAAGGAGGGGAAAGAAGAGAAGACAAAAGATCCATAAAAACAGAAAGCACTTGTGGAGGACAGCAAAAGTTGTGAGTATGAGTTCATTACTTTCTCAAACAAATTTTTACACATTATGTCGTAAATACACGTTCAGGATCATCTGCAGGCTTCCAAAAAACACCGACTGTAGGAATTATCCATCTGTCTAGGAGCTTGTCTTGTTACATTTGTTACAGACATATAAGTTGTGCAATTTATGATTAATTGCAACGTTAACGTCAAGAGAAAACAAAACAAAAAAAACAAAAAAAAAAAAACATTGGTCCTTGACAACCAAACCTATGCGGAGAAACGAGTGTACGACAAAACATTCGAGTTCAGATTGGCCAGTAATGTTTTGTAAAGTTTGGAAGCAGTAACATGTTTTCTGAAGAGAAAGAAAGCTGGGAAAGAATGTGAGAGTGTAGGAGAGGAGGGGTTGAGGGGCGCTCAAACAGGGCACACAAAAGAATAAAAAAAAAAATCACATTCTTTTGTGGGGACTCACATTTTGGACTCTAAAGTTGCTCTGACACATTGCGCATGGAATGATGCTAGGCGGGAGAGAAGGAAGGGAGGAAAAGAGATCAAGGAGTCAGGCGGAGAAGGAAAAACACATTTACAGAGGTGAGGTGTTTTCCTTCGCTGCTCCACTGCTACTTTATCAAGCTGTTTACAAGCCTCCAATAAATACCAGATTAAATAAATGTTGGAAAATTACATCAGGCACTTTTACAGCTACGATAACTTCCCAAAACATGGCTCTCCGCAGCACATCTGTGTTTTCTTGCCAAAGGAAAACTTTCAAGGAAAACATTACTGTGGCTCAGAATGTGGGGAGCATTCACACAAGCCTGGGATTGGAGGAAACATAAACAGCATAGTGAGGATATTGAGTAGTTCCACCGTATGAAATCATCCTGACTCTTTTCCTCTTCCTCCAGCTTGTAAAGCTCACCTCTCACAAGTTGAAGGAATGGGCAGCTTCCCAGCGGTCCTGCTCCTCTGCGTTTTCCACGGTAACCGCTGCCAAAACGAACACACAAATCATCCTGTTTAATTACGACCGAGTTGATTTGTTTTTGCATCCTGCGAAACATTCCCCTCCTCTGGTTTCTGTTCCACAGCGCTCACAGCTGTAGTCCAAGCCCAGGAGACCGGTAACGACCTTTTCCTCCTAAGTCGCACTCTTGATCGGGACAAGCGAAATCTCTCAGTAGAAGGATGTTGTCCCAGTCTAATCCTGTTTTCTTTCCTTATTTCCAGTGCCACCTGGAGATATCCCATTGCCATCTCGTAAGTGTCTCTCTTTTAGGGGAGCCAAGTCTGGATGCTTTAACAATAAGTCACTCTGAGCCAATAACAAATTTGTTGCAAAGATCGCAGCAGAGATTGCAGTGGTAAAGGTTTTTAAAGATACATCCAAAAACTGCAGCTTACCGAGTTCGAGACATGAGAACATACTGACTGACAGACTTGACGAAATGCTACTGTCAGTCTCCTCTTGATGCTGGCGTGGGGATGTTGCAGGAAAAAGATTCTACACGCTACAGATTCTGGTTGAACAGCAAAGCTTTATAACAATGCTGTTAAAAAGCTTACGTCAGCACGACCAAATTGCGAAGAACTCTCTGCCCAATCACAGTGAAATCCCGATCGCTGGACAGCACCCTGTCTACAGGGTGCTGGCCAACACGCTCCCTCCCCACAGCTTACATTATCAGATGCCTGTCTCCCTGATATAGGCATGTTCAGGTCACGGCGGTCGTATGTCTGCTAAGGCATCCGGAGTCCATTTTTGAAAGTTGTTTTTTGAACTCTCCTCTTGCCCATTGCCAAAAAAGTCGTCATGCGTGATCAGACACTACACCACATCGGTTCAGATCTCCTAAGGTTTGTTTGTTCTCAGTCTTTTACCTCAAAACCTTCAGTCGCCTGCCTACAGGGACCAGAATGTTTCCGTTTCCTGACACTGATAAATATACCCACTAAGTCTACTAAATACAGAGTCAGTAGAATCTTACTGACACATATAGTGAGTTGGTGCTTTGTACTGCGCTAATTGTCATTAGGAATGGGAAAAAAATATAATGCAGAACGCCTCAAGGCTTTATTCTTGGGACACTTTTATTAAATATTTATGGTCCCTTTCATTAGATGTATATTTTTATCCCAGTGCTTCAATCACTGCATTGAGTCTCTGTTTGTAAGAAGATCAATGTTCAGTATTCTTATTGGTCACTAAGGCACCGAGTCTTATTGGACCCACATATATCTTAGAGCATGTGGTCAGGTATAAAACCCATAAATGATCCTCAGATATACAGATCCCTTTTCACTCTTTATTTCACAGGATCAAAACTAAACAAAGTGAGGCAATATTAATTTCTATGATCTTGAGACCAGAGATGTGCCGGAAAATTAGTCCTGCTTCTTTAAATCTAGATTAGAACATGATTGTTTGCAGCAGCTTAGTGAAGCCGAGATATCATTGCATCGATTTGCTGTTTCCTGTTTGTTTCAAAGCTGCACTTACAACTTTTTTGCTTTTTATGCGATGCTTAGATGGCTCTATTCTTTTCTAATTTACTTTCTTACTGTTGCACGCTCAGACTGCAGGGAGGAGATGTATCCTTGCACCAGGATGTACTCAGTTCACAGACCCATCAAGACGTGTCTCGGCAGACTTTGTCTCTACAGGTGACCTGAAACCTTCACGGACATTTAATTTGGGCTCTTTAGTAGCAGTTTCATTTCAAGAAGTTCTTGATGTTGCTTTAGTCATCACAAATTTATTTTAGATGAGGTTTGCCTTCATATTTTCTGCCCTGTTAGTATTTATTTAAAGTCTATAAAGGTCTTTTCAAGTGTTTCTTCCTACTGATTGCTAATTTCCTGTTCAACACGGGACCATTCTCAAAGCTGTTTTCTATTTTTTTTTTATTTTTATTAAGTGTCTTCAGCCAGAAATGTCTTCAGGATGGCTATGAGACAGAAGATTCTTCCTGCCCACAGCCATCAGTATCTGCAACAACTCTTTGAAGAGAGTTGTACGAGTTAGAACGACAATTAAATTCCCTCTGGGATTACAAAAGTGTTTTTAAATTTGACATTCACACAAAACAGGTTCTAATCTCGATGGATTAGTGAAAGAGTCTTTCATCAAGACACTTTTCAGACAGATCTAAGAAAAACAATAAAGATTGAATTGAATTATAAGGTTCTACATTTTTTCTAAAAATTCCCTATTATACTAGTAATATTTTTAAATTAATTATGAAATGCCCTTCTAATTGCAAAGCTTTATTAAACACTATTCTGACACAAAGCCGTGTGTTTATGTTTTCTTCTGCTGCTGAAACAGCCTTCCACGCGTTTATGTGATCAACAACGAGATCTGCGTTCGGACGGTGTGCCAGCAGGACGAATATCTGAAAGGTGAGAAAATCTTTGTTTAAAAAACACTTTAAAAAAAAAGAAAAAAAAAGGGGGATAGTTATCCAGACTTCTGCCATTTATGTTTATTTGAAAAAGGAAGTAAGTTAGGAAAAGATGGATACATAGGAGAAGACAGGAAGAAATTAAAGAAGGAAGAAAATGGACAGAGAAGGACACAAAAAATGATGGAAGAAAGGATATTAGGAGTAATTAAGAAAGGAGATACAAGGATGGGAAGGAGGGAATGAAGAAGAAAGGAAGGACACCATAAAGAACAATAAAGTCAATAAGGTCGTGAAGAAGAAAAACAGAAAGGATACAAGAAATGATGGACAGAAGAAGCAAAGGAGGGCTGAAGAAAGGATACAAGAATGGAAGGAAAAAGGAGGGAAGACAAGGAGGAAGCAAAGTCACAAAAAAGTAAATCAAAGATGACTGAAGATAAGGGAGGGAAGGAAGATACAAGGAAAAAAGAAAGGAAAAGAAGGAAGAACAAAATCTAATTAAAAATAAAGATGGAAAGAAGGACATATGGAAGGAAGCAAAGCAAGAAAGAATTAGTACGGGAACAAAGAAAAAGTGAGGCAGGGACACAAGTAGGTATACAAAAAAGGAAAAAAAGGACATAAAAAGGGACAAAAAGAACAATTGACAAAAGAGTAGAGAATTTCATACCAATCCAGACCTGACGAACAAATTCCAACAAATTCAACTTTTCAAGACTTTTCAGAAAAACTGTTCAATACCAGAACATGAAAACATGTCTGCTTCCTTTCTGACAGCTGAACTGTGCAGAGAGTTGTCTGGGTGGCCCAGACGTATTGCGAGGTCTTCTTCTGGGACGCGCTGCCGCAGCCGTCGCAACAAGCCCAAGACCTGGGCAAACCAGGCCTGATGCGGCCCAGATTTCCTCCATCAGTGAGGATGGTGCATCAGGTGGAACAGCAGAACCATAAAGCCAATACTCAGCAGGAGCAGATCTCCTCCTTTTCAGTTATGTCTTTATTCATGTATCAACCTTTTTATTGTCTGTGAATCCTGATGTAATGCTCCGCTCACGAGAGTTTTGGGTCTTCCGTGGTTTATGATCCATTGAAGGTACTGTAGTAACGAGTTGTTTTATGTTAGAAACAAAAAGTAAAACTTCACTGAAAACATACTTACTGACAGTCCAGTTTTGTGCTCACCAGCTTAAGCAATAAAATACAACAAAACTTGATTCTGAGTATTTCATTTATAGGTTTATTTTCTTCATTTAAGAAAAGAATGGCATGGTCGGTTATATTTTATGTTTCCATTTTCATTGTTCCCATTTGCATATTTTTATACACTTTACAGCTTAAACAACAGGTAACATTTAGGATAAATACATATAATTTAAGACGATAAACATTTATGGTGTGCTCCGGTCAACACCCGTCACCACGCCACTCGTCAGCGCACGTCAGACACAACACACGATATCGGTGGCACGTAGTCCAGCTCTTGATACGTAATTTCACAACCGAACACACTAACGGACGCGTATTAGCTTGGTTCCTCGTTCTGCTTGTCTGCAGCGTGCCAAAAAAATACCTTTGCATTTCCAAACAGAATTAACACATTGTAGATAACTCCTTCCTCCGAATGAACGAACAGAGCAGAATCAAACCTGTTCACTGAGCTTCGGAGAGGTCACGACCCAAACGACTCACAATTCACAGCTTAAGCAGCTGTGCTGAGAGGAAATGACATAACATTAAAAAATAATCTCCCTTTCCCCTTGAGGCCAAGATAAAAGTATTTGCCTCTTTTCCTTCCCTCTAACACCCTCTCCCATCCAGCACTTCCATGTGTCCTGATTTATAGTTAAAACAACACATCCCCACTGGAGTAAGTGCTAAACAGCTGCGCGGCCGCAAGAGCGGAACAGAAAACGCCAAAGAGCCCGACCACTTCGTAAATCAGCGGCGGACTGACAGAGCTCTCTCAAATGAACTCATTCTGCGGTCGACTTCACAATAATCTCAATCCGACATCAGAAAATCGCACACTTCATGAATTAATACCTACACAGAGAGTCAAGCTGTCTGTCAGTGCATATATTCGGTCTCCCAGCTGGAGGCCTGGAAAGGAAACGAAGCTAGAGTACATTAAAGGCGAAACCACCAATAACAACTACCGACACTGTAACATTTAAAGCAAAACGTCTCTGTACAGAAGGTTAATTCAGTTAATTAGATGTCGATATGCCTATTAACGTTTACTCTGTCAATATGTAAAGAAACTATTGGAAGGAAGAGGAGGAAAAGCGGGAATATATCGATCCGGGAATCCGCTAAAAACGACCCGGTTAAGACCTCAGCCAGAAATCCAGGACCAAAGCAAAGGAGAGAGGGTGACCCTGCTCGGCAGGGAGAGATACGGGACCCCAGACTGGGGGAAATTAATTAGCAAAAACGCTGCATAATTGTATTGTAAAAAAAAAAAAAAGGGGTAAAAAAACAAACAAAAAAAAACAGATCACATATCTCCTCACTTCAGGGCCACAGAGTCAAAGTCTCCCCACAGGTCATTGTTGGCTGTGGACGTCGGGTTGGATGGAGCCGCTGAGTTGGAGTTGCTGGAGTCAAGATCTAGCAAGCAACCTGATGGTTTGAAAGAAAATAACAGATGTTAGCTTCAGACATAAGATCATTTTATGTCCTTACTAGTTTCAGAAAATGTCATGGTGAAGGACTGGAGAGCAAATGAGTAAAAGAGCAGCAAAAGTTATAGAAAACTCAACTTTCTTAAGAAAGATCAGAGAAATATCGATCAAGACTTTGTAAAAAAAAACAAAAAAAACATCAGGAACATCTGGCTTCTTGGGACAAAAACATAAAAGATGTTAAGGGTGACTGATATTTAATTGTGCTGTGTCAAAGTTAGATCCTATAAAAACCCATTTGAGGCTGCAAAAGACTTCAAAGTGGCTTGGAGGTTCTCCTTCAACTATCCTAAACAGACAGATCTACTAAAGAACAGCTTAGTTCAAAGCATGTTCATGAGTTCGAATGGCCCAGTCAAAGTCCTGACTTTCACAAAGAGGAATTGACCAAAAAACAAAACAAAAAAAATCTATTCTTTACATGTCCAAAGCTGGCTGGCAGAAACAAGCCCAAAAGCACTTTGCGGTGTACTACATTAAAGTGGTTTTAACAGGACAGAATATGAAAAAGTTCAGTGTGTATGAATATTTTCTCTGTATTTAACCGCTTACCTCAGTGGTTTCTGCTCTGTAAATGGCCTCAGTTTAATGTGCTGAGCTTTTAAGATCCTGAAACGTTTAGCCACCACCCAAACACAACAAAGATAAACCCAACTTTGAAACGCAGCAGCAATGACTCCCTTGCACTTGCAAAGTTTTCCACTTTATTCTGGAAAAAATAAAAAATAAAAAACCACACACGCCATATTATAAGCTGTTTCCTTGGGCACACGATCTTTGATAGGGAAAAAGTTCCTCGGGGTTCTGTTGAATTTTTCAAATGTTTTCAGCACCAAAACCAAAATTCCATTCACTTTAATTATATCCAGATGGCTGCAGAAATCTCTAAGGAGAGGCATCTTTAAATCTTGGCACATCAAACCAGAGAATAAAGCGTCGACTGGAAACTGTGGTTTTGGTACCGATGCAGCTGTGCCTCAAAAGCCCAGAACACATGCGACATCCAGCGCCGCTTATTACATTCACATTCAAACATTTTACAGTCTATTTATTAGTCTTTTGGGTAGGTGCTCCTGTGGGTCAGCACATCAGCTAGTCACTATGGCAACAGTAAAGGTCGCAGGTACAAGTGCTCCACTGGAAATGAGTCAAAGTAGTACACTGTTGTAATTCGAAGAGTTACGCCCATTTATATAATCGATACCACACACCTCTGCTGCGAACTGTGGAAATAGAGCAGCAAGCTGTAAAATCACAGCAAGAAAATTGGGTAATGTTTACCTTTTTTTTTACCATTTATGAGTAAATTTACCATCACTTTTACAAGGGCTCAGCCAAACGTGAAGACAGAACACCTCAGATTAAAATCTAATTTTTTGCCTATATTTTTAGCTTCATGCAAAACACCCCACTCTTTTTGGCAACCTTAGTAAAATGTTTTTTTCTGACTCTTAAGAATACGCCAGTACATACATAATACAGTACATAATACACTCGAATTGTGCAAAGAAGTAAAATAGATACGACAGGAAATGAAAAATGTTAAAATGCTTAATTCATTTTGCAGTAGCTGATTGGTGGGTGTTGCACCTGACTTTCTAAAAAAAAAAAATTATTTTACCAACACTGGATTTTTTCTTTCCCCCCCCCCAATGAATAATGTAATCAAAGTAGATTAGCCCCTTTTTCATTGCAAGATTTTACAAGTGGCATAAAAAGATAAATTCATGCTAAGGATTTTGAGAAGGGCAAAGTGCAACAACTTATAAAGATTACAATTTTTTTTCAGCCGCTTAAATGTTTAGTTAACAAAATCACAAGTAAGCATACCGAGATTGCTGTCAATTTAATTGTTGATGGCTAAAACAACCATTTAGATGGATTACTTCTCCAAGTTGTCATGCGTTGGGAGTATAAATACTCACCGGTGTCGGCTCCCCCTGCTGTTGGCTGTGTGTTAAGATTGGTAGCTCTGGATGAAGGTGGAGGGGCCAGCTTGCCTCCAGGTGGAGGCGGAAGGAAACCGAGGCCTCCCGAACTCTGCGGACGAGACCTGTCCTTTTTCTTCGATTGCTAGATAACGACAGGACCCACGGATGGTGTTAGATTGAAAGCAGATAAACAACATCCAGTGTTTATCTGTTTATATGAAACCCATTTGAGTTTCAGAGGAAAACATTTCTACAGCATCCCTCGCCTCCCCCTTTTATTTCTGAAGAAAACCAAATACTAAACACCACCGTAAACACAGCTTTGACATTTCAAACTTGACTGGAAATCACAAAAAAATAAAGGTACCCCAATGTTTAGAGTGATGGTTTGTCCCTCTTTGAAGCCCAGATCGAGTTTAGGAGTAGAGTCTGGAGCCTGAGCCTGTTTTTTAAACTCGTTCTCTTGTTTTACCCACCTAAGGGGAGGCCAGGAAAAGAAGACGGAAAGATGAAAATACAAAACATAAGTAAAACCATCGATCGCAACTCAAGTGGCGACAGTTCACACTGTTAAAGCTGCTGCTTACTTGAAATGGTCCTGAAGAGCCACGTTGAAATCGAACGCATCACCTCGGTCTCCAAAGCCGATGCCGATGAACGCGCTGCGGCCTTCCAGAAGAAAAACACGGATAGAAACATTCAGAAGAATATTTCACGCAAAAAGACAGAAGGCGATAAGTCAATTTTGTTGCTTACAAAAATGTGAATTTATACATAAACTTTTTAAAAGATCTGCATTGTTTTAAGTTCAAGAGAGCTTTTTTTTTTTTTTTCTTTTACGGTATCTGAAAACTTACTACAAACTTTCTGAACTAAACTTTCAGTGAGTGTTTTAGTAACTTCTGATTTGTAATGCATCGTTTAGTTAGAAGAGAGGGTAGCCATGGCAACTGTAACTCAAGTATATCATGAAACACAGACATGATGAGTGTGGAGGACTTTGTTGAAGTCACAACGCTTCAGCAAGCATGAAAAAGGAAGTTAACTAGCAGGTGCTACCGTCGACTCACACTGCCCTTCATATTTTGTGTAAATTAAATCACTAAATTATTATTCTCACTTAGTTCATCAGTTCCTTGTTAATATGAAACAAATACATTCCTCCAGCATCTTTCGGTTCAGTCATCTTGAGTTCAAACACGTAGCTAATTACAGAGAATATGATTACGTGAAGCAGAGTCCAGCTGCCCTAGCAGGTTTTTCGGCAACTTTGCTCTGTTTGCCTGCTTTGAAACTACAGATTGTGGTGAGGCTTTAAAAGATCAAACAAAAGTCAGGGTACTAGTTAGGAGAAGGGTCCAAAATACTTCTAGAGTGTAATATAATACTTGTATGGTGCAGTAAAGAATCATTCGTGATTGGAGTATATATATATGGGATAACAATGTCTTTACAAACACTGGATATTTTAGTAAAATTAACAAACAGACAAGACCGACAGTAACACTGAAAGGAAACTGAGCAGCAGGAAGTACGTTCTGGTTGGGTTCTACATGTGACAACAGTCTCTTGTGTTGTCCATATGTCCGGATGAAGGAG